AGAATAAGTATAAGATCTTGGTTACATTTTGTATATGATTTACATCTTATAGTCATTAGATTTCTCTATAAACTTATTATTAAAGCTAACACAAAATTAACATATGATTATTTTAAAATTTGTAAGAGTGAATAGAAAAAAGTAATAATAATAATATACCTCACACTACTCAATAGAAAAAAGTAAAATCAAAATATTACAGATGCTTTGCAATCGGCATGAGCTAGGTGTGTGATCTGGGTTTTTTAAGCGAATGTTCTTTTACTACTTACTACTCTTCTACTACTTAGTCTTGCTTTTCTTGCACGTTTATTACTAAGCATTAAAAAACTAAACTTGGTTAATTTTAGACTAAAGTAACGTATTCACTAATAAATTGTCGGAAAACCTAATACAGCTATAAAACTTCTAAATGTTGCTTGTGCTGTGATTCAGACGATACTCCCACTCAGGCGCCAAGGAGTCTGGTGCTACGACCTTGCGGAATCATGACTAAGTTTTTGTTCCAGTTATTTTACCGCTATGGTCTTTATGAAAGGATATTTTCTCTAATTATATTAGGTGTATAATAGTTTTTTTAAATCTAGGTGTGTGATTTTCTAAAAAAAATAGATACCTGTCTGTGTAAGTACTTTAATGCATAAGCATAAAGGATATTGCATCATCCGCAATGTTCGGGTAACGTTGAACAATGCAGCATGGTGTAATTTATGGTTTTAATGGGTGATAAATTCCAGTTTAATATCTAGACAGTGAGAACTCTTTTCGCACTCGTAATTTTGTTCTGATATAAAGTTACAAAGTTAAAGTCAAATAATATATTTGGTCATAAGTATTTAAATATGTATCCCATGATATTTGAATGATACCTTATATCGTTATATTCATACTGCACGCTCAAAATATTTGTTCCGTAACCGTACATACATCTATTAATGCATTTTAGAACAAAACTTACACTTACCTGTGGTATGATATGTCTTTATCTTTATTTACCTTTTTGTTTGAATTTGTGCACTTTCGGAATACACACCTGTGTATTCGGAAAGTGCATAAATTACAACAAAAATACCCACTTAGGTGTGTTATGAATTTTCTCGAATTAATTAGCACTCGCGCTTCCTCGCAGTGGTCCTAATTAGGACCCTTGTATATAATATATTATGTAATATTGTTTATAATATATAATATATTGTTTATAATATATGTTGTTGTTTATAATATATTTATCTTACAGGATGAAAGTTACATAGGCATTAATTTAAAATCACGGCTTTGCCTTAACATTTCAAGTGTGTTTCAATGTCTCTTTTTTAGTGTTTATAAGATTTTTATATTTTCAATTACTAATATACGATTATATATTTTGTGGGAAGCTTAATTAAACAGTAACCTACTTAGAACGTGTCATCAGTTCATTGAACTGTAAAGGATTGTTAATGGACAAGACTTTAACCACGATTGACCTATTCGCCTGACGAATATATATAGCAAGCCTTCAAATATTATTTTAAGCAGTGACGTTCATTGACTTTTAAAATATAAACAGGTTACAAGTGGATTAAAAATTATGTCATCCAATCAAAGGTCAATGACGGTGAAGATTTTCGACGATCTAAGGTTTAAAAGCTATATTTCTTGAAACTTAGAGGTTTTGTCGTTATACTTACTTTTTATAAACGGTTTTTTTTTATTGGGACGTTTGTGTTATTATTCTATGGCTGAACACGTTACTGTTGTAGGAGTTTATCGTCATACCTACAGTGAATATGAAATTCGAAATACTATGCAGTTTGTGGTTATGTACACTTTGCATTACAAACTTTGATTGTGAAAATATCCTGGATAATAATATTGTCTAAAGTCCAAATTAATCAGAATTTATCCTACAGTGTTAAGAATATGTATCAATGTTACATATGAATATATTTTTGGAAATATGTAGGGTCAACTAACTTAGAAAAATGCAAATAGACATTCATGCAAACAAATATTTGAAGTCGCAGGAATTTACCCGTCGGGACCAAGAAGTAGTCGAATAATTATATGTCTTGTTCACTAATTATGTCACGTGGAAGTTCTTCCTCAAGTTCGCAATAAAAATGCTAAAATTGATGTGACCTATAAAAGCACACAGTGCGCTCATTCAAATAGCGCCGCTGTTTCTAGTTACACATTACCGTCCTTTTACGAAATAATTGCCACAGATTACAGGAAAGCGAGAGAAAAGATGTTATACCTGAATTGATAGGTAACACGAGTAAATTCTAAGAATATGACATATTCAGTACACAGTAACAGAAACGAAAATATTTTCTCATATTTTACTTTCCGGTAAATAATTAAAAACTATATATTGCACTAGTTCGCTGTCTGTTATTGCGAACGCACCATCTTGGGTGGCGTATTTTTCATTCTTATGTGAACGTATTTATCTTTGTTAGTAATTTTACACTTCTAAAGGACATTGCATTGCATCTAACCTCTACTATAAATCTCTTCAATATCTTTTAATATAAATATAAGTTTTAAAAGTAGCAATATCAATGGTTCTGGATGATTAAACGAAAAAGCGGTGAAGTTTGTGAGTTTGTATGTTCGGGTTAATCTCAGGAACTACATCTTCGAATTAAAAAAATCGTTTAGTGTTAGATAGCTTTATTATTGAGGAAGGATATAGGCTATATAACATCATGCAACGACCAATAGGAGGCGAGTATCAATGAAAAATGTTGCCAAAGGGATCGAGCCGATCGGAGATGTTTGGGCTATCGAGGATTAGGGTCGCTCTTCGTTTGATGCGGTCCAGAGGGAGAAGCTGGTACTGAGGTGCCCCTGCATAGAGATAAGAAAAGTATTCCATATGCGGTTTGCGGTTTGCCGTAGTGAAATACTGCCTCGATCTGTTCAGCTCACTGAGCGTCTTCGAGGCTAATTTGACTTTACCCTCTAAGTGACCCCGAAACTGGACTTCGCTCGATATGTCGATGCCTAGGATTCCGATGCTGGCTGAGGCAGTTAGGCAGGTGCTCTCAAACTGAAGTGATACGACAAATGGTATCTTTTTGCGGTGAACGCACAGACCTGTGTCTTTTTTGGGTTGAACTGGACTAGATTTAGTCGGCCCCAATCTGAAACCTAAGCTCAGGAACCTTCAAATTCAGGCACAAGTTTGTTTCGACTCTCGAAGACGTTTTCCCGAGAAATATTGGGGCGGCCGGTATAAAGGGCATCTCCTCTGCTATCATCTGCATAGCAATTGATGCTACTAGTTTGCAACATGTCATTGATATGTAGAAGAAACAGTGTGGGTGATAGCACACATCCTTGTGGGACATCAGCATTTACGAATTTCAAGGCGGAGCATTCACCTTTTAGGTAAAAAAAATCTTGTAACGATTTTTGTAAAAATAAATCTAGTCGCGATGATTCATAGAGGTATTAGTAGACGCAATTGATTTCACATGTTGTTAAAGTTACTTAATAATACGTTAACCGCTACTATCGTCACGAAAAAACACCAAACTAGGTAAATGATTGACTTTTTACGTTGTTATATCTGGAACAAAACCCACTATAAATTTTAATACCATATCATAAGAGTAGACCATCAGTACTTACAACTTTTTGTAACAGTTTTTGTACTATCACAAATGTTTAAAGTTGAACAGTTTATGACATCATTATCACATCAACAGCTTTTAATAGCCCACTGCAGGACGTAGGCCTCTCCTTAGAAAAGAAGTTTTGGTCTACTATACCACGCTGGCAAGACTACTATGTTGAATATTATATTGTTAACAATACTCACAAGCCTCAGTCGTCTCTTACGACACCCACGTGATGAAAAGGAGTGGTGACACTTCGTATTCTTAATCCCAAACGGATTCCCAAATTCTTATTTGTAAGATAGTTTTATTTAAAAAAATAAAGTACCTGGTTCACATTTTAATAGTTTCATGTTTATAATGAATTAATTGAAAACACTTGTCCTAATTTTACTTCATATCAACAAGGAATGAACGAAGTATGTATAATGGAAATTTATAAAATCATGCCTAAGAGACAAAAATGATGATGAAATGGGTGATGACGAGCATCACCCATTTCATCATCATTTTATTATGATGTAGTTTTATCAACGAGGTAGATTGCAATATAGAAAACTATTTACGTCCGATGCAGGGCTGAATTTGTTCAGCTATAATATAATCTTACCTGACTTAATTGCGGTTTCCTTTACTGCGTACATTGTTATATTTGTACGGAACCCTCAGGGGATGAGTCTAGTTCATACTTGCACTGTTTTTTTTTATACCTAATTAAGTCTTGTACTCCTTTGAGATTGTGATATGTGGAAACAAATTGAGTAATATTTTGTGTAGGTCCTGTTTATCAGTTTACGGACATGCCTTTTATTAGATATATGTCTCAGGACAGAATAATACTCCAGGTGTTTACTCAGTCAAGTATTAAATTTGTAAAATGTTATAAATATTACATTCAAATTATAGTTTTCAATGACTGTTTTCTATGGTATAGAAAATATTATAGGCACTTATGTGGGATCAGTAGATTAAAACTTTACAATTTTATGTATGAATAATATTGTCAAATCGAACACTTAATTTAAAAAAAAGGACTCTAAACGAAACCGTTTTTTTTTAATATGGATGCAGTTTTACCTTTTATTGATAAGGTATCCAAAGCTTTTGCATACCTAAGGCATACTTGCAGGCTTTTTTGCATCTTATATTAGTCTGCTGTTTACTATATGTGCATAGGCTACTGAATGCGTTGATCGAAGCAAATAATACAGGCATTATAGAAAATTTTAGTCACAAGTCAACCTTATCCCTATTACTTACACACTATATGTTATAGGTAACTTATTGTGTTACTTACGCGGGAAATGTTTCGTGTCAAAAAAAATACTTAGGTGTACATCCTAGTTTTACTCTGAAATATTTATTTTGAAGTTTCTCTTTCGTTTGTCACAGTTACCATCAGCCATGAGTAGTTCACGGTGTGTGGCGTTGTTGGCGCTGTGGTTGGTCGTGGCCACTGCTACGCCTGTGAGAAGGTCACCAGATCTCGAAGCTAGACGCAGAAGTGCTATTGACCGCAGTATGATCAGGTAAGAAAGTGTTGTTAACTTGAGAGTAGCACTACTCTTTAGCATTTATCTCTGGGACACAGAGCCCCCTACCTACCGATTCCTTATCTTCTTTCCTCATGAAAGTTATGACCAGTTTAGAAGACGTTAGGTATTCTTTAATGTTACCTCAGTAGGTCGTCGGTCGTCTAGATAGGTCATCTCTTCCAATGCAAGTGTCACGTGCACCCCACAATTTAATACTGATGAGTTGAATATGTTATTCTGACAATACCATGATTCTGCTATTGCTGTTTCTTGGTAATGTGTAAACGATATCGAAAGTTACTTTACTAGGTTCCAAATAAACCCCATCATTACAAAATTTTAAACTGCCTTCTCAGGTTTATGACAGTGGTTATTTTCTATGTTTAGAGCTGTATTTAAAATAATTATTATTTCACCAGGTTTGGCAGATCATATCCCCCAGAACCCTCAGCAGCTGATATCAGAGAGGCATTTCAGCGACCATCACGTAGAGGTAACAGTTTCCTCCGATTCGGCCGTACTCAACCCTTGGCCCTCACAGCCGATGACCTCGTTTCACTCCTAAAGGCTTACGAAGAAGACTATGACAGCCCTATTTCTAAGAGATCTGCAGGCTTCGTACGATTCGGCCGAGACCCCAGCTTCATCCGATTTGGACGATCTGTTGATGAGGATAAACTCGGTTATGAACAGAACTCCGAGTTGGTTGTCAGTGGATATCCCCAGAGGAAAAACCGTGCGAGGGATCACTTTATCAGACTCGGTAGGGACAGCGAAGAAGGTAATGAGAACGAATTTGAGGAGGACCAAGAGAGCAGAAAGAAGAGGTCTACGGAAGCATGCCATGAATGTCAATCGTAATTCTTCGTTATGTTTGCATCGTCGTTTTAACCGCTGTGTGAGATTTTTAAAATAAACTAAACCTAGTTTATATAGTACCAACCGGTAGTGGATAACAGTTTAATTATAATTGATGTATAATTCATTGAAAATTTTTAACTTCATCCAAAATAATTAAATCATATAACGCGTATATATGTTAGTTAATATAAATTAAACTTTTATATACTGCCTTTATTTTAATCTGTCAATTTTTATAAAGTAAATGTGGAATAAATGGGCAGTGCGTATCTCATGCTGCGGTTTTACTTTATATAAATATGTCTTTCCAAAAGCATTTAATGAGAACGGGCTAAATATTTTTATGAGGCTAAACTATGTGGTGCATTGATGTTTAAAAAATATATAAAAATTAAATAAGTATTTATGATAGATAAATGTTTAGAGACGTCATCAAAACAATTTCAATTTTAATAAATATATTATAAATAATATAAATTAAGAATAAAATAGGCCAAATGGTAATGTACTTGACTCTCGTATGAAAGCAAGATGCGCTTACATAATATATATTATAATGTATGTTTATAATTTTAATTCGTTACTGTTGTTTAGTTATCTTAGTTTTACAAACATGTGTTTGAGTTAAATATATCTACTTTTACACTGACATGTCAAATTAAAAAGAACCATTGTGTCCTGTATTTTTAAATAATAATTTATTGTTCAAAGGTATAAAACGATATAGTGTCAACATCTGAAATATAGGCTGGGTGATATGTAATTTCGGATGCTTACACTCATAGTTGATAGTTACAATTAAAACTAATTTATTATCTAATCAAAATGTTAACTCGATGTTAAAGATAGTATGAATTGAATTGTTGCAATACTAATAAAGCATTATTGTGTAACCATTGAAGATTCATTTAATATTTTATTTATAAAAATAAATTAACTTCACCAAAGAGGTTTTGATTGCTTTATAATCGACTTTGGTTCCAAAACAATTTGATTAATTATCCGAGAAAGATAGGTTTTCGTTGAAAGGGCGCGTAACTGGTTTGATTAGAACATTACTTGAAAAATAATGGGAAACATCGCAGTGTATTAACATATTTATACATTGCATTATGGTGATAACATGTGCGAGGACTATATGCACTATTTCACTAACATAATGTTTAAGTAATATAGTTCCTATGTCTCATAATTTTGTTTGTACCTTTGTGGTAATAAATTAATGAAAATAGCTCTAAGTGAAAAATAAATCAGAATGAATTATTAATATTCATCATGCTCGTTATATATGGTCCATCTTGTTTAAACAATAGAAGCAATAATTACGCTATAAATAAGTAGATAATCCTTAATTCTTGGACCTCTAATATTTTGAAATGGATAGTTTTAATATTACAACGATATTTTCGTCAGTTTTTTAAGCTTTAAATGCTATTGTACGTCATCTCCGCGCTTACTGATTTAATTTAAAATCTGTTAGATATATTTATACCCTTATCTATAGCCGTTCCGAAGATTCTACACTGATTTCTATGTTAAAAAAAGAAGTGAAGTAAACTTTTTGAAGTGATTCGGTCCACAATGCGGTTACATGTGGTTACACAAAGTAATCATTTTTCATTGTTGTCCCAGCCTACCCGGTGTCTCCTCGACCCCTGATTCTTACTGTTACTTAACAAATATTTTTACGTCAATGACGCCATAGTTTTGTAGTTCAAGTTCCAATTGTTCAAGACTTGATGTCCATGTATTGATTTCGGGTTTGGCAAACATTTTTATGAAGAACAAAGTTTTTATTACCTTAAATAAAAGATATTTTTGTTGGATAACTTTCATGTTATATATGTCTAAAGCAAAATAATTAGACTTTTAAGCAAAACGCGAAAGATTAAAATTTACTTCAAATAGGTATCAGGTATAGTATGGGTCATTTTTTTGTTACAAGAATAACACTGGAGGAGGAGGGGATTTAAAGACCAGCAACACACTGTGACTAACCATCAAGTGACCTGTTTGCTCGTTTGTCCAGTACCATAGAAAGGAACAATTATCCAATAGAACACACACACACACACACACACTCATCCACACAACACACACACTGTTATGCATTAATGCATGTAATTACGCACTAATAAAATCAACCAAGGTACCAACGGGGGTCCGGCACTGTAACTCCTTATCACAGGCTGGTCAGTAGTCTATCTAGGAGTGCAGTACTCAACCCAAGTTTTAGTTAACATTTTGAAAATTGTCTTTCATTGTACTTAATACATGTATACCCATTTTTTGTTTATTAAATCATTATTATTAATCGTATAATTAATGGTCTGTCGTACCTAATGTACTCTATTTGATACAAACTTGTGTTCTTTGCAGCAACATATAACCATTTGAGGTTAATTGTGGAAATATAAAAGCAATTGTTTTTTTTGTATTCCTGTCACGTACACAAAGTAAACATTATACATAATTTGAACGCTTAGAGAAAAACTTCACAACGTAGCGAAAAAATATTCTGTGGTATGTTCAAACGATTAGCCTCATGTACTGCAGAAACTGCTTTTGCAATAAAAATACTAAGTGGTGATTACAGTTTCGTAGAGTTTATCCATGAATAACATTCTTTGTGTTGATTTCCGGTTTTATAAAAAACTTTTTCTTAACAACGTCGCTTCGTATGCTTTATGTTTATTGAAATGAAATAAAATGATACTTTAATTACTTCAACGCAGTAGAATTTTCTTAGGAGTTACAGAATCTTTGCTCAAAATTTTAAGACTTAGTACGGGTTACGTATTTTTACACGTTTTACAGTCTATAATAATAGCCTCAGTTAGTTCCAAAATAAAAAAAAGGAACTTTACACATCTAAGATAACCCGACTTTCGGTTGGTCTATCTGCCAAGATATTTTTTCCTCAGGAACGCGTGGAAGTGTCAAATGGAAATATAACAACAAATACATACGTAGGTCTAACCATTTGAACAAATTTTGATATTTCGATTGAAAACCTGCAGGCTACTTATAAAAATAAACACACGGCAAACCTTGTACCTCTATAGTTAGGTGGTCTCAGTTCGAGTTCATCTACAGAACCAAGCAGGAGATGAAGTGAATGCTGGTCACTACCACGTTCAGTCAAACTACAAGTACAAGTTGCTAATTTAGCGTCGTCGTGTAAACATAGTAAGTATAACAAAATATAGCATAACGCGAGCACCTAAGCAAGTCGTTTCTTATATAAGCGCTTGTAAGAAGATATTTATCTGTAGAATGGTCCAATTAAACCCTTAAGTGTGTCGTAATAGCGTTTTATATTGTTGTCATACGAAGCTTATTTGTCGGATTTACGAGTTGTTTTAAACTTAACTCTTTATTCATGCTTAAAACAAAATATTCTTTAGTTATTAAACGTTTTGTTCACACTCTTGAACACATTTAGGTACTAGAAAAATAGGCACGTACTAAAAAGCTCTGTATACCTTGGTGTAATATTGATCACTTCTCGATATTTCTGACCATTTATGAAATGGTTGGTTTAAATTATTGACCACTACTTATAATATGGTCTAACTTTCAAATTAAATTCAAATATAAAATATTTATTTAATAAAATAGATTACTTTTTATTCGAAGTCGTGAATTAGTTATCATAATCGTAAAATAGTAATGATTACCAGCTAGAGACGCTGATAGTACTGTTTTTGTGATGCATCATAGTGGCGAGAACCAATCCAAGATCTGTATTATACAATAAAATGTAAATTTGTTTAAATACATAATTTTATTTTGTAACCATAAAGTGTTAAATTAATGTGAAATAAGAATAATGAGTAAACTATTATTTTTAGTCAATTTTAATTAAAAAAAAAACAGTACGACACGTGGGGTTAAAAAAGAGTATATAATGGGAATTTAGAACAGAATAAACTTTATTGTACACCAGTTTAGAATACAGGAGTACATCAAATTAACAGCGATGTACAAATGGCAGCCTTATCTCTAAACGGCAAGTTATTACAGGCCTATTTATAAATAAATTCTTACAGTTCAGTAACAAACCAATCATCAAAAAAATATGCATAATCTAATTTATACCCTTCCATTGTTCGCGTAATGTACCCAAAACTTGTACGAACGTGAATCGAAAATATTCAGCACTCAAGTGCTGTTGAAGGTCTGTTGTAAATACGTTGTCAAATGTACGAGTATAAGTTAAATTAAATGTAAGATATATCTCCAATAACTTTGGAATGAAATTAAAAAGACCTTTGGAACTCTACAAACACCTAAGAGTTACCAAAATGCATGTCTTGTCCAAATCACAAAACGAAATCGTTAGATCCCTTCCAAAAGACAAAATTCATCAGAACTCGTGTCACGGCTCCAATTCCACAAGAAATTCATGGTAGGTACGTAGTTCAGTAGAGTTGGATTGGGAAATGCTAGAAGACAGACAGACAAATAGATAACAAAATCGTTTCTACAACAAGATAAAAACGAGATCTACAAGGTGCAGGCAATGAACCTAGAAATGGAGAATGAATGGTTAACTCTAGGAGAATTTTGTATCCCAACAGCTTTGCACACTTTTATACGATTGGTCACCTGCACTGTTAAAATTTTACCTCAACGCCTTTCAATTGACTCTCCCCGATCAAAGCAACCTAGTAAGGTGGGGAAAAGTGACAGAAAGGGCTTGTACGATGTGAAGTGCGGAAATAGGTACAGCCAGGCACTTACTGACGGGTTGTAAGGCACTATAAGACTGGGGTAATTATTCACGTCGCCATGATAGGGTATTACAAATCATACGCGAAGCTATAAGTTTATCGCTGACGACAGCGAAAAAAGGAATAACAACAAACATAAGAACTAATATTGCGTCTTTAAAGGAAGGCTCAACAAAAAAGACTTCACAAAAGCCGTAATCAATTATAAATATAGCCAGTGACTGGCATTATTAGTGGGCACGTATGAACATCATTACAGAATAC